TTCCTTTCCTTTCCTGAAATTTCCTGAAATTTCCTTTCCTTTCCTGAAATTTCCTTTTCTGAAATTTCCTTTCCTGAAATTTCCTTTCCTGAAATTTCCTTTCCTTTCCTGAAATTTCCTTTCCTTTCCTGAAATTTCCTTTCCTGAAATTTCCTTTCCTGAAATTTCCTGAAATTTCCTGAAATTTCCTGAAATTTCCTGAAATTTCCTGAAATTTCTTCCTTTCCCTTCCCAAACCTTCCCAAGCCTTCCGTTCCCTTTCTTCCCTAGAGCAGGTATTTCTGCCTTGCCCTTCTTCACAAAGACTTTCTCATGTAAGGCCCATTTAAACATCCAAAGTACTTCTTGTCAGTGGATGTTTCACATTGTTATGTGGTAGGTAATACATAGACAAGTCTCTTTTTTGCCAGGCATTCTAAAGCTTTTACTGCAGAGAGCTGACAGAGAAAAAAGAGAAAGTTGTCTGTGGAGAAAAGAAGATAATTGAATGAGTGATTCTGTGACATTAAAAATACAGGCAAATATTTAATTTAAGGTAAATAAGAATTGCAGCTTATTTCTTGCTTTTAATAAATGACATGTTAATTTAGAAAAGACAGGTGAGATTTTCAAAATGTACTGAAAATTTCAAACTTCAGACATGTGAGAGGCTATTTGCAGGAGCATGTAATGACAGGACAAGGGGGAATGTCTTCAAACTGAAAGAGAGTAGGTTTGGATTAGGTGTGATGTAGAATTCTTCATTGTAAGTGTGGTGAGGCACTGGAAGAGGTTTCCCAGAGAAGTTGTGGATGCCTCATCCCTGGAAGCACCCAAGGCCAGGTTGGATGGGGCTTGGAGCAACCTGGTCTAGTGTAAGGTGTCCCTGCCTATGGCAGGGGGGTTGAAACTAAATTATTTTTGAGGTGTCTTCCAACCCAAGTCATTCTATGATTCTCTGATGTTTACTAGTAGACAACATCAAAAAATCTGTATGAAAAGATGAGAATGAACTCCTCACAGACTGTGATGTTAGTTGTGTCTTGAGCATAACCCCGCTTTATTAAAAATGTGGTTTTGTTTGTTTCCTAAAGGAAGCTCTTACATTTCATACAGTTTCCTTTATGGTTTATGAGCCAGACAGACTGGCTTTAAAGATGTGTGACTCTATTAATGGATTTCTGTCAGCCTGCATAACCCCTGCCTATCCCAGCTAAGTGCAGCTATTGTTATCAAGCTATTGACTGCTGTATTTCACTGTTTTTTGCAAAATAATGTAGAGAGAATTGCCTTGCTGTAAAGGATCTCTACTGCTTTAAGGAATGGCTCTCAATGGAGGAAAACTCTCAGAAGGGGATTTACAAGCCAGGGCTGATGTTGCTCACTCTTCCTGAATGCAACAGACTGCCCAGCCTGCATGAGGACCCCAGCTCCTGCACCCACATCCCTTTCTTTGGTAAGGTGGCGCATGCTGCCCATTGTCCAGAGACCTGTGTTCTTGGTAAGGGAGGGGGGAAGGATGAGATCCATAACTTGCAGCTAAAGTAAAAGCTAATAATGGGTACGGTCCTGTCAGCACCTGTGCATGGAATTGTGGCAGCTGCATTGGATGATTGCTTGTCTCACCCAACTGGGGTGTGGGAAAAATCTCTCAAGTAAGTAAAACCTGGATCCTTATTGAGAAGATCATAACAATTTCATAAAACAGTCTTAATGATGGCAAAATTGCCATTCGGGTGCCTTTGCAAAGAAACAAGTTGTTTAAACACTGCTAGGGTGAGAACTTTTTCCTATAACATGCTCCTAAGTAAGCATCCACTTATACTACATCCTGGACAATCCCTCCTTACATCTTGTCTTTTCTTTTTACAGATTTTAAGAAGGAGAATATAACCAGTAAGTAGACTGCTCCAGGTTCTGTATTTTTAAAGGTGGACATGATATTCTTCATTGAATACGCAATTTGCACAGTAATTTTGTGTTTTTCTCTGGCCTGACTGGCTGAATTTGGGTGATTACCAGGAAATGCCTGAGTTACCACATCCAAAGCATGGGGAAACACATTTCCAGCTCTTCAGAGTCTGGGGGAAATACGTGCTGGTAACTTTTGAAGATGGTGGGAGTGGAATGGTGCTTTTAGGTGGTACATTCCGCTTCAGCTGTTTCCTTTTCTCTCTACCAATTGCTTCTAGTTCTGCTTTACCCATATTTGGTATTTCTGATACTGCTGCTGAGGTTATCCTAGCCTTATATGCTGCTACACACTGGGTTACCTATGTCAGGCTGGCCTTGCAAGACCTTAATACCCAAAAGGTCTCAGCACTTTCCTCAAATTATCTCTGAAGTCTGGCTCACTTTCCTCAAATTACCTCTGAATTCTGGCTGTTTCTCATGTGACCTCCCTATGACCAATGGTAAGACCAAGACATCTCCTGTGGTGCTGCTATGACTTCTGTTAGCCTCTCACCCTGCTGCTGGTCATGGCTGAAACACTCACATCTAGCTCTTCCACAGACACACAATTGCAGTTTCAAGCTCAGCCACTGAAGTTGTCTCACTGGAAAAAAAAGAAGAATCTCTCCATCAGTGCTACCTAGTGCCTACAGCCTTCAGGTGTAGCCATCCCCTCCCTGATGCAAGGACCTCAAGACAGCAGTGCCAGCCAATGAGTGGTGCATTCATGGGGTGGTTTCAGACTCCCCTGAGATGTTTGCAACTTCAGGACATAGTTTCTGTGTTCTGCGTAAAGGCATGACCTTTCTGTTCAGCTTTCACAGCATTTTCCTGGAGTGGCATTGCACAGATGTGCAATATTCAGTCATGAATCAGGAAGACATAACAGTAACATTTTAGTAATATTGCCCCCTCTTTTTTACTTTAGAGCCTCTGTTGTGTGCACAAGGGTTTGGGAAACATGAACCAAACTGTCCTCTAGCTTGCCATCAAATTATTCATTGTAATTCAGATGGACCACCTTTATTATTCTCCCTGTCCTCATTGTAGCAAGACCATCTAGGAAAGCATCTGCATTTTCCAGAGTACAAAGGACTCAGGGTTGCTTCCTTAGTGGTGTTGTTAACCCTAAAACTCTCCACATTGATCCTCTAGGGTGGCACACTTATATTTATTTCAGATCTCTGCAGAAATCTTTTTCATATTCATCATGAGGCATGTTCCAGGCATTGCTTTCTTTTCCTTTGAATGAGAGACATGTAAAATTCTGGGCTCAGGCACACAAGGATGTACCAGGGCAGCTTAACAAGATTTTACACCTTTGCTGAGCTATGTTATGTGGGGGATGCTAGGTTGTTGCAGATGTGAGCCATAAATGTTATTTACATATCAGTCAAAGAAGTCCATTTTAGAGCATTTTACTTTGTATTTGTGATGGGTTTAAGTGTTCTTGTGAAGTCCACAGTCATTTCTATACTGGGATGTTTGGATGTCTTGGGTTACAGGAACTTGATCCTTTGTTTAAGCTCACTCACCTGGAGCAAACTATTCAATGGTGGTTTTTCTACCTACTCATGTGTAGTGCCTGATGCCTGCTGAAACTTCAGAAAACTAAGGATCTATAACAAAATATAACTGCAATCCTGAGTGCAGTGGGTGATGCAAAAAGAAAAGAGCAGATAGTCATCATAGTGCATGGACTATGGTCCTCCTACAGGAGAAACAGGATAATCTGCAGGGATAAATTAAAACACACAGCCTTGCCTCAAATTTGGATGAAAACTTATAAAGAGTTTACATGATACTGAAAAATATTTGCTTAAAAATCATTATTTTAGAACACATCAGTTTTCCTCTTGCTTTTCTTTTTTTTTGTTTTTCCTGAGCTGCAAGTTTATGACCGTAATAGAAAATAAAATTATGACAACAGTATTTGCTGGCTTGTTAGTTTGTCTAACAAGGTTAACAATGCAGCGGACCCTAATGCATGCTGTCAATCAGAATGCTGGCCCCTGCTCAGCCGAGTTTACAAAAGATTATCCACCATGTGTTGAAGTGTGTAAGGCTGCATCTCCTATGCTGTCCTCCTGGTTCCTAGATTATGCCAGCATGCATTAAACTCTCCTATGAAGACAGGTGGTGTCTACATTTATCCAAATTCCTGTAGTAAAATCCTCTCAAGATTTTCTGCTTAATTTTTCTGCAGCCGGAACAAGCCTTGTGTATGGAAAGTGAACTATACATTCCTTATTAGAAAGAACATTGTTTTTATACTGATACTATTCTTTCAGATCATAGTTGCCTTCAGTGTATGGTTTCCACATATGCTGGAAACCACAGACTGTCTCCAAATATTCAAAGAGGACAAGCATTGTACAGAAGCAGGAGAAGGGATACCACCATGGGACTTTATGTATCCCAGCCCTCTGCTATTTACAAGAGGAATATGGCCATATTCCTATTAGTAGTCTCCCTCTAAGAGTGTAGGCTGTGAATCATGGAACTGGTGCTGCAATTTGCTTTCTGCCTTGGTTTGGCACGGGTGGGTTCAGTGTGGTTCTACCTGCACTTTCTGTGTGGAAGTGCTGTGCATGAGGTAGTCACAGCTCAACCATTACAGGCATATGGCCTGTTTTCTCAATCTGAAAGAGCTCCTGTTCTCTCTTTGAAGTTTTACCAGATTTGATCTTATGCATTGAGCTCAAAATCCATTTAAGTGTAAACAAGAGGCTAAGCAGTGCCGAGCCTGCAGTTGTCTTGTCTTGTTATGTGCTTTAGATCTGGTGCTAATTTTCACATGCTCTAATGTAAGGACATGAAATTTATTCTTGTGAGTCCTTGATCTAATGTTTTTGTGGTTTTTTTTGTTGTTTTTTTTTTTTTTTCCTTCCCAGGGACTTGCTACAGTGGCAATGGCCAGTTTTACCAGGGCTGGGCCAACATCACGGCCTCTGGCATTCCCTGCCAGAAGTGGAGTGACCAGGTGCGCACTGGTGTGACATCCACCAAACTGAGAGCTGTGCTCAAGGTCTGCTTTTCCAACATGTTTCCCAGAGCCAGGCAGCCCAGTCTCAGTGGAAGGGCTGAGCAGGGGACAGGTTGCCTTCATTCTTGAGTTCACTGGTGTTTCACAATCTCATCATGTTTCAATCTGCATGTTCCCCTTCCTGTGCCAAGATGCATTCTCTGTCATTCTGTCAGGCTACCTCAAGAAAAGTTCTGCCTGTCTTCACTCACTGTTTTATTTGCTTGTATTTTACTAATAACTGCATGAAAAATTATACTTAAACACTAATCCAATTTGCTTCCTCCCCCAAGGCTCCCCACTTGCACAGGAGGACTCCTCAGGTTTTTCCTGAGCTGTCTGATGCTGAGAATTACTGTCGCAACCCAGGAGGTGAGAATGAGCGTCCCTGGTGCTACACAAAAGACCCAGCCGTGACCTGGGAATACTGCAGCGTGCCTCCCTGTGGAAATGGTAGGCAACTCAAATCTATGATTTCTGCCACTGTGGTTGTTTTGGGGCCACAAGAGGTGTTTGCGTCCTGAGTATACCAACCTGTTCCTCCTTCTGGATTCAGCTAGTTCTGGGTCTCCTCAAAGATTCACTCAGCATTTTTGACCAGAAGGTATAATGTGCCCCTAAAGAGAGGAAAATGAAGACAGGCAAATTGAACACCTTACCCTAGATAATATAAATGCCAAAGGATGGAATAAAATTTCCTGTGGTATTCTGAAAAATGGATTTACCACACTGTGTTTTGAAGGTAGGGTTTTGGACTGTTTTTCAAAGTTGTTTTATTTTGGGTGATTTTTTTTTTCAATAATATAAAAACCAATTTTAACTAAAAAAAAAATTTTTCAAAAGATGGAAACATCTTTTCTCTCCAATGTTGAAACTAAATGTTTCTGCTATTTCTTGTCCAAACAACAGAATAATTTTTGAAAAGTATTTTGTCCGAGATTCACAGTTTTTGGATCTCAGTGCTTGGAAATAAGACAATTTTTCTTGCACAGAGAACAGGGGTTTCATGGACATAAGTGAACACAGGTCATTTTCAGTTTAGCTGGCCTTAAAAAGGAGAGTTTAAATTTCTTTCTGTTCTCAATCACTGCATATACAGAGCACCATTTTCTAGAATGTCTCAGAAAGTACTCAGCAGGTAGTTATGTGATTTTTTCCCCTAAGGATAAAGCCAAGTGTGTTTTCCATATTTGCCCCATAAAGACACTGAGACGTAAATTGTTAGAGGCAAGAGGATATTTCAGGAAAGTATCACTGTGTACTTACTTGGTCTTACACTCCTCCCTGCAGATTCCTTTTAGGACACATGATACATTGTGGTTCACATTGTAGACCATTGATCTTTCCCAGTGCAGACATAACTATATTTGAATACTGTTGAGGCCATCAAATGTGATCTTCCATCTGTAACTCTTGCAATCATTCCATACCAAAACTGTGTTCCCAGTTGAATGAGAACTGCGTCTTGCTCTTTACCAGATCCTGGATTTTCACATTTGGCAAGAACAAGTGTGTTTTGGTTCCTGCAAGCCAGGCTTCCATAGTATTGTTCTCTCATGCAGTCATTTGGATGTATCTGTAGTGTCAGTAATTCCCAGGACATCAGGTTGACTCCATAAATTCCTCTTAGAGAAAGCTCTATAAACCAGCAGAGGCATAACCCTCTGATTTTGTTTGCGTTACAGCATTGCTGTCACTAGGAACAAGAAAACCAAATGGAGAGACTCTAAATCTCCCCCCTTCTCCTCCCTTTTCCCCTACGTACTCCATGACTGTCATCATCTCGATTATCTCCAGCTTTGCTCTGGTCGTGATCTTCGGCATTGTCACCCTGGTTTGCTGCCGTCACCGAAAGCAGTGGAAATCCAAAAAAAGGTAAAGCTTGAGAATTAATTCAATGCAAGAAATGATACTTTGAAAGAGGGCTTGCCTGTTTCTGAGAGCAAAGTCCTGCAAATGCCTGGTAGGGGGGAGTAGCCCTCTCTTTGCCTGTGGCAGCCCATGCAAGTTCTGGCGAACTCCTGTGCCAGAGCTGAAGGTGGCCTGGTGACTGGGAACACAGCAAGACACATTGCTGCAAGGCTCTTGCAGTAGCCCTGCTGTACCTTCCTTTTCCATCCTGGAAGAAATAAGCCCAGGAGGAGAGGCAGCTAATTATGTTCTGGTTGAAGGCTGTGCACACACTGACCGAAAACCACTCCCTTGTTTCAGAGAGTCTGAGACACCAACGCTCACCACTCTGCCCTCTGAACTACTTCTGGACCGGCTGCACCCCAACCCAATGTATCAGCGCATGCCCCTTCTCCTCAATCCAAAATTGCTTAGCCTGGAGTATCCCAGGAACAATATAGAATATGTGAGAGATATTGGGGAAGGAGCATTTGGGAGAGTCTTCCAAGCCAGGTAAGCAGGCTCTGTGTGAGTTCTCTTTATCTGGAGGTACCTCTGAAAAATTGGCACTGGAAATCACTCATTCATCCATTCTTTCACTCAAACCAAGATCAAATGCATGTGTACCAAATGGTACACTCAGGTTTGAATAATTGTTTCTGTTGTCCTCTGCTATCTGTTGATATTTGTTGAACTTTAGTCACAAATTACTTTTTTGTTCTATTCTCTAGTAGATGTAATGCTTCACACACATACCAAAGCGTAATGTAAAAGTTTAGCTAAATTTATCATCATTGTTTTTGCCGAGTATTGCCTGTGACATGTGACCTATTGTGAAATTTTTGCATTTCCCAGTATTTGCAAGCTGTGTGTGGTAACCTCCATTATAACACCAACACTGGACAACAATTACCACAGAAGGCAATGTGTCATGCTACAGTTCAGTCCTAACCGAGTTTCACTTTGATTCAGTGACAAAGCCAAAACAACCCAAAAAATCCCCTAAAAACCAACCCAACCTAGGCCAATAGAGGTTTTTTTGTGTGCGTCTATGGTGTCCCAATCTTAAGGGGAAGGGCAGACCTAAGATTTGTAGATGCTTGTGGCTGAAAGGAACAACAAAAGTCAGAGGGGTCCACAAAAGCTTACAAATTTTTATGAGTGAATTACATACCTGGCATGGAAATTGGTATGTTATAGTCCCTAACCTTTTATATAAGCACACAGTAGAGGGTTTTGAATAAAGGGGTAGCGTGAAAAGGAAGGGAGATAAAGAGATACGTATGAAAGAGGGGAAGAGAGAAAGAAAGGAAGAAAGGAAGAAAGAGACATCACCAGCCCTGACTCCAGCATCATTTCAGCTGATGGGATGTTTAGGGTCTTAGGGTGCACGCACACAGGATTTTTAGGGTTACCTTTTTATAGATAAGTTTCCCCGCCCTGTAGATAAATTTCTTACTTTTATGCAAATAAGTTAGCATGCACAGTCCGTTCTTCCAGAACTTCTTTCTTCTTCTTCTTTCTTCTTCTTCTTTCTTCTGGAAATGGGTCAGAGAGCTTTAGGGGCCTTGGATGGTCTTGATCCCACACTACAGTCCATGTCTGCTTCTTGACCTCATTCCTATGCCTGTGCTGTATGGTGTTGTGCTTATATCCAGGAGCCAGAACAAGGATGTTTGTCCCAGAAAAATGCTGTCCTAGCTCCATATGGCACCCTTCTCCAGCCACAACAACTTGGTTGGCTCCATAGCCATCTGGCTATCGTTGTTTGAGACATACAAATTATTCCCCTTATCTTCTTGTCTTCTAAAGGGTCCCCTTTAGTTATTCACTTTTCATTTTTGGAAGTTGCAGCCATTGTTACCTGTTTTAAATTTGAAGCATTAGTTGAAATTCCAGTTCTGTTAAGTCTCACGGGATGTGAGATCGTGCACTTCTTGAAATGTGAAAAATCTTTAACTGACAAACCTAAAGATGAACCCAATCCTTCCTAGACTAAGGTGGATGGAAGGTGTCTTGACAGTCTTGACAGAATCCGTAATTTCTTCAGGACAATCTTTGGACTGGTTTCCTCATGACGTCTCATCTCCAAATTCCTACAAGCAAGTGTTAGAGACTGTCTAGTTTCATGCTTACTCAGGACAGTCCTTTACAGTTAACAAGTAGGGGATGTGGCTGATTTTGTAGCTGTATTTGGAGTAGTCTACGATGACCTCAAAAAAACCCAGGGAAATATCGGAATCCCACCATGGGTCAAGATGTGCCTGGTGAAACTGCTTCTGTTGACTTCAAAGACAAAGGCCTCTCCTTGCAAAAAGCAATCATAATGCAGATATTTTTAATGTTTATAGTTATGCTGTTAGAGTATCTACTAGGAAATGAGCTATGCTCAGGTTAAATGTGTTGCAGCTGGGAAAAAGGTTCAATAGCTGTGATGGATTTATTTTTCTAATGAAGAGATAAATTATTTCTAATGGAAGAAATGCAGGCATACTTTTGTTTAATACAGAGTGAGCTAAAAATAACAAAGTTCAAAGGGCATGCAGTGGGAAAGTCACAGATGCTTAGCCTGTGATTGATTGTTAGCCTGGATGGCCGAATGCATCTGAGTTTGAAACAAGAACAAAACTGTAGAAACTACACAACAGCTGTGGGGCACTGCACGCCAGCTGGTGCAGGGGCACAGGGCAGCTCTTGTTCCAGCCTCAGCACAGTGCTCGGGGTGCCTTGCAATGCACCACCTTCCTGTTCATGTGGCAGGAGTCTTCATCATGCTGTGATGTGTGAGCAGGGCAGACAGTCTTCCTGCCAAGCGCCACTTTGGACCTGCACTGGGAACTTTAATGTGATATAAGCACTGCTCAGACCTTTCTGAGCTGGAAATGACTCTCGTGGACATCAAGAAGGACCTCTCAAGGGGCATTCAAATGTTGCTAAAGTGCTGGGTTAAGCAAATGCTAAAGTGGTGTAGGAACCTTTTATGTGGATTTCATCCACCCCAGAGCTGCAATTTCTTTTAATTAAACCTTTTTGTTATTGATGGTGGAAACTGACAGAAAAAGAGATGGGGTGAAAAATAAAACATCAGATGTTATCCAGCATTTGCCAAGTGGAGAGTACCATACCCTGAGAAACATCTGCTCTCTGCGGCTCAAGAAAGGAGCCACAGAAATATTGCTTCTCAGGAAATTCCTTATTTTTATTAATATTTCTATCAAAAGTTTTTCCAAGGCCTTATGATTACTTATAATTATTTTAATTCCTTATAATAAGCCATTGGTATTTCTGTGCATCTCTGATGAATCAGTGCAGACTGCTGATCCAGTAGCACAAGCTGCGTATCCTTACAGGTTACTGAAGCTATCACAACTCAAACCGTTGCCTTCCCATCTCAGAAGGATAAAATGTACTTTCCTACGTGTGTTAAATGGTCATCTCGAGCTAAGTTTAGCAATACTCTTACTTCTCCTGCTCTCATGTTTCTCCCTCTCCTGTAAATACAGCTCTGCACACAGCGCCAGCAATGCCTTTGCCAGTTGGCTTGCTGTGAGTTCTGATTCAGTGTTTACTCACTCCTGGGTCAAGCAACATGTTAGGACAGGAAGTGTCTGGCTATCATTTACTAGCTTCTCCTGAAAGGCTGCTGTCTTCACCAGGAATGGCTTTGCACTGGAAAGGGTGAGGAAGTAACCATGCTTAAAAAGGACCTAGCTCAGGTCAGTTCCAACTGGGTCCTGGACTCCGTGTCTGGGAGGACCACACTGGCTGCATAAGCCACCAGAGCACCAGATTTACACAGTTCAATGCAGACCAGCATGCAAGTTTTCTGCCAGAGCTGGAGCTGTATTGTCCAGGCTAACACCGCAGGCCAGGATTGCCTAAAAGCCTGGATGCTGAGCTAGTAGGCTAGTAGACCTCCACTGCAAAAGTATAGCTCGTTGTTCCTGCAAGAGACAAAGCAGGTCTCTAAGGTTGGATTTTCCTGGCAGAAGTCTCCTGGTGTTCTCTCCATCTGTAAAGGGTGTTTCTTTGACCTGATGTCTCAAATATAGCTGAAAAACAGTGGGGATGTTAATTTAAAAAAAAAACAAAACAAAACAAACCACCAGAAAAACCATCAAAACAAACAAAAAAAACCCCTTACAAAAACCCAACCAATGAACCAACCAAAAACCCCAAGAAAACAACATCGATAAAAATAAATAAAAAACCCCTCCAAACCCAACAACAACAACAAACCCCAATCAAACAAAAAAACCAACCGAAAAACAGAAAAAAAGAATGACAAAATGAGCCCCTGCTAGTTCAGAGCACTCTCCTTTCCACATACAAATTTAACCAAAGGATAGGGAAAAGGTGAGTCTCCACCAGACTCAGTAGATGTTAATTGCATCATTTAATGATCTAACAGAAGTCACCCAGCTGTGCTGCCAAGGAAGATGTGGACAGGAGTCAATCTCAAATTCAGGTTCAAACTACTCATTTCCTTTCATGCTCTGGAAAGAAAACCTGACTTGGAACTTAAGTCAGGCACCCTCTGTAGGTAGGCTCAGGGTGAAATTCCTAACTGCACCACTGGTTAGTTCTTTGAATGGTAGGTACCTAAAAACCAAATGCTGCCACTGGTGCATAAATCCATTGATGGTGAAGCAGTCAAGGACTGTGGCTATCCATCCTGTCCACAAACAGTGGACATTTCTCCTCAGAATTTAAGTGCAAGAAAGGAAACCCAAGATAATTTCTTTGGTTGCTTCCTTTGTTCTAGAAGAAAATGAACCTATTTTTTCTCTAGAGGAGAATTTACGTATTTTTTAGAAAACACGTCACTTCCTGGACCTCCACCTGAATTCTCCTGGTGCAGAGGCAGCAGCTTCCCATTGCTCTCCTGCAGATGTGTCCCAGCTCTTTGTGCAAAGACTGACTTTTGGGCACCAAATGGGCCAAATTTGATAGTGGTCTGCCAAGAGTTCAGACAGTTTCTGTCTCTGCCAGATCAGTGTGAGTTTCCCAGGTCTGCTAAGAACTGGGCTGAATTAGCATGAGATACCAAGGGTGAAATTTTTTGCTGTTGCCTGAGGGCCAAATAAAAGACTTTGTGCAGCTTAATCTCACTTAGTTATATTTAGGTTAGTTTACACTACAGGATTCAGTGAAGTTGGTTGGGTGTACATAAGCCTGGAGCGAGTTTCTCTGTTCAAAGCATGCAAGACCAAACTGTGCCTGCCCCTGCTTTGGCACTGCACTGGGTCTGCTAGTCAGTGACGGGTGGTAATCTATGAGACTGTTTGGAAGAGATGAAATCCCTCCTATTTTTACTGGACACTGCTGCCACCATGGGAAAAAAAAGGAAGACATTTTGTCACAATGGAGGCAGTAGCAGACAAGTGTGGAGTCTGATCCTCTGCTCTGGCATGCCAGACCTCCTTGCCTGAGTTTTTCAGCTGTGATCAGCCACCTGTGAGATTCCTTTCTGAAGGGCCCCCTGCCATCCACTGACATTTGACATTTCCAGCATCCAAGTACAACTGTTGCAACTGCCATACGTCTGAAGTAAATGACAACGAAACTGGAAGTTTGCTTTGGAAATTGGAATCTCCTCTTGGTGCTACTGAGCAGTAAAATGACCTGGCATTTGAGCAATGGGAGGGAAGTCGGGCTGGTGTAGTAACATGACACATAAATGGACATTATTTTCCATGGGCTCTTGCTGGCTACCTGTAAGGAATGTGTTTTATCTTCAGGGCCCCTGGGAAGAGTTTGCCTGGGCAACAAAATGTGCATTTGATGTTTGATTCATGTTTGAAAAGTAGAAAGTTATTCTTCTTTGGCAACAGCTACACCTAAATCTTCTTTGGCAAGCCCATCTAACTAATCTTGAGGGTGCAGTGACTTGTGGGTAAGAAAACAAGGCTATGATTGCCCTAAGTCAGGAAGCTCTGTTTCCTATGAATTTGTGTCTATAAGCTCTAGCTGAAGATTCACCAGTATCACAACATGTGTGTATTTGCACATTACCTTGTTCTTCAGACAGGGCACAGATATCCTTTGTCCTTTCTGTCCTGTCACACATTTCCACAAAACTTGCAGGAGTATGACTATTTTCTACAGACCTCAGCTACACCACATTAAGTTCAGCTGAAATTAGCTAGTGGGTTTATAACTTGTTGAATTACAGGGACAGATATGCCACACACACACACACACACAAAAATAGTGACAAAAGGCTGTTTTCCTTACAAAACCAGGGGGACATACTTACTGTAATTGTTATTTTCACTTTAATAGTAGATGGATGTACCAAAGTCACCATTGTGCCAGGTAGGAGAAAGGAGACTATTTCATCAATTTCATATAAAATAGGTTTATTTTTAACTCTGGTAAGTTCAGTCATTACACTCCAAAAGTGAATTGTCTGGACTGAAGAGTCCATCCTGTCCTCTATAAACTTTAGGGTGTGACCTCCAACCTAGGGAGAGGTTGTTGCTTAACAGCCTGTTACTTATTTATGTCTTTACCAGTCACAGTAATGAGTCTGTAAGCAGAAATAATAGTAATCAAAAAAAGTTAAACTGGATTTAGTCCCCATTGAACTAAATGATATGTCTCTCTATTATGCAATGCAGACATGTCCAAATGGTGAGGATGATATTTAATATTCCTTTAGTTGGTGCTGGGGCCTTCCCCTTTATTTTTTAAAATTCTTTTCTTTTTCTTTTTTTTTTTTTTTTTTTTTTCTGTCAGTGCATCCTTTTGCATCAGAAACAGAACCTGCATTTAGAGTGTATGCATTCACCACTGATGCTTTCCTCTTTTTCGTCTCCTTGCAGGGCCCCAGGGTTGCTGCCCTATGAGCCTTTCACAATGGTGGCAGTAAAAATGCTGAAGGAGGAAGCATCTGCAGACATGCAGGCCGACTTTCAGAGGGAAGCAGCTCTCATGGCAGAGTTTGACAATCCAAATATTGTCAAGCTTTTAGGTATCTCAGTGAGGCACCCATGTACAGGGTGCCACCTTCTGCAAATCTGCTGTGGGGCTATTGGTGGTGCAAGTGACTGGAGCTAAATGCAAGTGGTAGTGCAGGAGAAAATTCCTCCTGCAAAGACCTGACGTTTTCTATGTGCCATTGTATGCTCTGATAAATTGTCCACCAAAACGAGGCTCAAAATGTGGGTCTGATGCTGCTGTCTTAACAGGATGGTGCATCACATTAAACTCTCCTCATGCTGCATTTAGTATTCTGTTGGCGATCTTGCTGCTTAGCTCTGCTTCCACTTCAATAACATTGACACAGATGTCTTACAGTGAAGACATGAACTTCCTGGAGCTGTGATTTATTTTGTGGGTACTTAAAAAACACAGTCACCAGTCTTGTTAGCTTTATGGGTCCCATACTATTGTGATGTCTGAACATTCACCACCATTAAAAAAACAGAATTAAACAAATGAACAAAAAAAGCCAACCACAAAAATGGTCCTTTCCCCTTCCCCTTTTCCTTCCCCTTCCCGTTTCCTTCTCATCTGAAAGGAACCTTGCTTTATTGTTTTATTTTAGAAAGTCTTGTTGTTGCAGCTTGGCAAATACGGCATTCTTCTGTGAAGAAAGCCGTGGACCAAATTTTCTTTCAGTAAATTGCCATTTTTGTTGGAAGTAGTTGCTGCCAGCCACCTTCACCTGGCAATCCTGCTCTAAGTTGTTGTATGCAGATCTCATACCTGTGAGCAAATAGCTCAGATCTTAATTTATTTCAGTAATTTTGAATTAGATTTGAAATAGATAAACAACAGTTTTGGGAAATCTGGGTTGATACAGGTAGTTAGGCTACAGAAAAAAAAAGTCAGGAAATGCCTCAAACTCAAATAAACTTCGTGTTTATTGTCAACACATTTTAGGTCAGGAAAGGGCAAAGGTACAGGAACAAACTAGTGTCACATTATGGGGCTGTGGAGAAAACAGCCACATTGTTGAAGACCGTTTAGATGGTAAATCTCTCACATACACTTCTCATGCTTGTCAGATCCTGATTGCATCGCATTGGGAATAGATATCTATTTATCTTCAAAGATATAAATGTTATGCTATCAGCCAGAATTTCTGATTTCAAAGTAAGTTGAATCACCAGTTGCTAAGTGATGGCCCTAAGAAAGCAAAACACATACATTTTAAATTTTGGCTTTTGCTCATTGGCAATTTAATGAGAGACACACAAATATTTTTACCATATCAGTGTATTCTCAGTAACACTGGTGGAAGTGTGGTCTTCTACTGAAGCTGGCCTACCAATAAAGCTCATGTAAAACCAAGCATGTGCCCTTCAGTGGGACTAGGTTCTGCATCTGTCAGATATGGAAAATGTCTCCTTTCTGATGTCTGCTTTTTCTTTGTCTTTCTTTAATTTTTGAGTCTCTTTCATGCCAAAAGTAATTTCTGCAACTGACATTTTTTCCATGAGCTATTTAAAAAAAAGAGAAAAATCCAGAAGAGGTTGGAGTGGAAGTTTCTTTGCATTTCACTGAATCCTTGAACATGCCTCTTGTGATTACTTTTGAAGCCTTTCTGCATATGTATTGCATCTATGTGTTAGTATTAGTACTAATTATAATAATTACTACAATAATGACAACAAATAAAAGAATTAAAAAATAACATGATTAGAACTATAAAGGTTACTTCCTGAAAATATGCCCTTTCAGTTGCACCTGGGAAGAGGAAATATTTCTGTTAATGCTAACTTAAGCATGATCTGGCTCTTAATTAAACATAGCTCCAAAAGTGTATATTTTTCCTGGGATGTCCAGACAAATCAGTCAAGTGCATGATTGGTTAACATTTCCCACAGAGCTCAGCATTAGACCCCTTGTGAAGGAGATTCTAAGAGAGAGCACGCATGATGGATGCATGCAGACTTGATGGTATTTGCACGGTTACCTTTTTTGCCTGGCTCTTCATGCGCTGTTGAAAGTCTCCCTTTCGTGTAAGCGTTTTTGGAACTTTTCGATTTTGCACAGCGAAACTCTCTTTGTTACCCAAGTGACCTGTGTGGTGTATCTATCCTCTTCCAGGTGTGTGTGCTGTTGGGAAACCGATGTGCCTGCTGTTCGAGTACATGGCCTACGGGGATCTAAATGAGTACCTGCGTGACCGCTCGCCCCGCAACCTCTGCAGCCTGGTACACAGCAGTCTGGACACAAGGATTCGCCTCCCTAACCCCTTGGCACTGTGCTGCACCAGCCAGCTCTGCATTGCCAAGCAGGTTGCTGCTGGCATGGCATACCTCTCTGAGCGCAAATTTGTGCACCGAGATTTGGCCACCAGGAACTGTCTGGTGGGGGAGAACATGGTGGTCAAAATTGCCGATTTTGGTCTTTCAAGGAACATGTATTCAGCTGACTATTACAAAGCAAACGAGAATGATGCCATCCCCATCCGCTGGATGCCCCCCGAGTCCATTTTCTACAACCGCTACACCACAGAGTCTGATGTGTGGGCCTATGGAGTGGTGCTGTGGGAGATCTTCTCCTATGGCATGCAGCCCTACTATGGGATGGCTCATGAAGAGGTCATCTACTACGTGAGGGATGGGAATGTCCTCTCCTGCCCAGACAACTGTCCCCTGGAGCTCTACAACCTGATGCGTCTCTGCTGGAGCAAGCTGCCTGCCGACCGGCCGAGCTTTGCTAGCATCCACCGCATCTTGGAGCGCATGTACGAGAGGGCTGTGGCCAACATGTCGGTCTGAGGGGTGTGTTTTCTTGCACTTCCTTCCTTGTCTCCTGTGTCAACCTATCCAGAGTGACTTGGACCAGCCCATGAGCTCCTGAGTGATGGTGGCTTCACACAAATCCCACTTCAGGGGAAAAGAAACAGCTTGTTCCTCTACCAAGCAAGAGGTGAACTGCTTCCCCTTAGACACCTCCCTGGGTGGGACAGTACCTCCAAAACAACAGGGCTGACCTCTGGCCACCAAGCCAAGACTCCTTACGTTGGTGAAGGTGTACCTATATTAAGCATTTCCAGGAGCACAGAGTTCCCCAGGAAAGCCAACCAATGTTTCAGTGGTGACACTTCCCTTCCTAGTGGGTCCGTCCATGTCTTTCTGCATTTATGCTCTGGGCTTTTACCTTTTTCTTCCCTTCCTCATATGTTTTCAAGTATGGTTTAAAAAAAGATTGCAGAATTCAATCTTATTTTGGGGATATGTTTATTATTTTATTTTTGCATACTGTTTACTATTTTGTGTTTGCATACTTATCCTTTTCCAGAAAAAGGACGTTTCTGAAGCCATAGGCCCCTTTCTTCTTCCTTTTAGCTTTCACCTTCTCGCATGACAATAGCACTCATAGAGTCAAAACAGGAGCCTGCAGAACCACTGGCAGCCACCTGCATCTCATATTACACAGATGGGCAAACTCCTGTCAAGCGTGAATCCTTTCATTTTCAAAAGTGGGAATCCACAGTGAGGTTCATTTAATCTTTGTTAAGGTCTCGCCCAAAAGCTTTCCTTAAGCATTACATCCCATCTTTCTTGCCTTCCTCTGCAGCAACGAGGCTGTTTGATGCTAAGGGAGAAATTCATCCCAAAGACCTGGTCTTGCACCTCATATGTGTCTGATGTGTATTTGTTTGCCTCTACAGGCAGTATGGTCCTCAATGTGCAAAAAGCATGGAGCAATGCAGGCCCTCTTGCAGAAATGTGGTAGATTATGTTATTTCTCTCCTTTTCCTTTTCAATCTTTGCCTTCTATTTGTGGTTTTCCTTTCCTGACAGCAGCACCTAAGTCCCACTACAATGTTTGCTGGCCACCCTTCCTGTGCTACAGCTTAGAGGCACAGAAATAAGGAAGGTGGACATCTGTCATTAATGGTCTTCACAGACAACCAGCCAGTTAGGAGAAGACGGAAAAAATGGGAGTTCACACTCCACCCAAGAAGTTTTGCAGACTGTTCCTCTGCAGGGCAAAGATGAGACTGACTCAGTTACACATAGTCTGCAGCCAACCTCCAAACGCCAAATACTGTTTCTTTGCTAAAAGTTCTTCAAATTGTAATTCATGCTTTAGTGCCAGAGAAAATTGTATTCCCCTGAGTACAGGTTTTACCCTTTAGCTCCTTGAGGAGTGAAGAGCAGTTGTCCCAGAGCCTCATTGCTGATACAAAATAAAGCCCAAGGCAGGGATGTGCATTATGACTGCAGAGCAGGAGCACCATGGAATAAGAGTTCAGTGTGGCTTCTGTAACAGTGACATGCTGTTTGAGTCTATCCAAAAAGCAGTGCAGAGCAGCCATCTCTGGGATTACCCACAGTAGCCTTGGTTTCTGAAAGGTAAGCTTAAAAATCTTTGCTAACTATTATTAGCAACAAAACCGGAAAGAATGTAGCCTCCTCTGCTGCTCTCCTGGTTGTTTCCTTCTTTTTTACCCCTTCTAAATAATCATATTCGTGCTGGTCGTGGCCACAAGAGCATAAGTTTAATATTTTCAGACCACTGGTGTCAATTTCACTCAGAGCAAAGACCTTGCAAATACCCAAGACAGTGGGAAGAAAGAGGACGTTTGGGCTGCAAAATACTGATGTGCTAAAAGAGCCTGGATGTTTGCACAGTGAGCAGAAAATGACCAGTGCTGTCTTACTCATTTAGCAGTCCTACCATCATGCTACTGTGACAAAACATTTTACTGAGGTTTGGATGGTAAAAACAAATAATCTCTAAGACACTTAAGCCCTAGGTTTAAATAAAATAGTACTGGAGTTGATTATGTAGCTCCTGTTGTCACAGTATGACCACCTCACAGTGCTCAGCATTAAATTCTGTTAGGCTGTATTAGCTACCTTCCTATCCTCCCCATTCTGAGGAGGAAGGAGTGAGGAGGCAGGTCTGGAGGAATGGGGGGTGAGTGGCATCCCCAGCTGAGTGGAGGTGCCTGCAGCGTCTGCCAAGCTGAGACCTAGTTTGCAGCCCAGCATCTGCTCCATCTCTGTAAGGAAGGGTACACATTAGAGATCCTTTCAGTGCTTGAGATGAGCAGACATTCAGTCACTCTCTTCAGAGAGGGCAGGGTCAGATCTTGTGTGTGGATCATGGTGTGAGTCCAGGTACCTGGGACCTTCTACTGATCTGGAAGGATTCTTGCACTAAGCAAAGGGCATGGTGACAGGTTTCAAAACCTGCACCACGTGCTAATGTATACAAACACAGCCTTCTGCAGTATGGAGGACAGCCTGCCTTTCTGCCTTCTACAATCCCAGTGCTGACTTCAATCATTCACTCTCAGTTTCTCCCAGTGAGAGGACTTTGAAACCAGAATCACAGTTGTCTTCTTGTTAGATTCTGTAATGTCACATGCTTGGAAGTTTCCCTCACCTTCTTTATAAAAAAAAGGACTCACACAAATGTGGAAGGATAGTCCTTTTCATCATATTTTCCTAAGCCCAAACCCTTATGACAGTGATCTCATATGCAGAACAACAGTGGAAAATTTGGTTTTCCTCATCCAGCATTCCAGCCTTTGCATTATAAGCAGGCACAGAAGTGTGTGATAGTCAGTGACTGCAGGTCAGGATGAAAAATGCTCCCTGCGTTGCAAGAGGAAAGAGATCAAGACAGTCTGAGAGGCTCTCAGCAACATGCTCTCCAAGGATGGTAACTATTTCTGCGTGCCAATCCAGCAGGAGGGTGTAGCACCTAAATGGTGGTGTCCTTTGAGGATTAAATGATAGGCAGAACTTCTGCTGCCTTGGCATGTAGCTGGATTTTACTGTTTCCTCCTGCTGTACATTTTTTAGCTTGCTAAAAGCTGGAGGTTGAACTGCTTTCATGATATGCCCTCTTTCACAAATATTTTTTCTTCTCCTTTTGTTCAAGACTTCTGCTGTCTTCACTGTGTGTTATACAGTGTGCTACTCTGGATTCTCCCAGACTTTCTGTACCACTATCACATAACACAAATAATTTTGAATGAGAGTAAACAAAGGGATTATGGGAGAGTAGAAGAGAAAGGAAAATCTGTTACTCAAACAGTTGTTTGGAAGCAAAAATATTTTGCTTCTACAATTTAGATTTATAATTCATGCAGATAAAGAAAATGAACCAAATATGGACATTTTTGTGTTAATTCTTGAACATGCTTGTGCTGCAGCGTAGAGCACTTTTCTACGTCTAGCGCTGCCAGGACTGGCCCAAAAAATATGAAATGTTTCATGAATTTGCATATTACTCTTGTGCAAGGGCCATGCCAATATACTAATTTAAAATGAACGTTTTTGGTGCTTCGGTTCCCATTCTCACTGATGCCAGAGGGAGCCTTGCAGTCAGTGGCACTTGATGAGAACCCCTAGAAGAAGAGGATTTGCAGCCCATTTGAGGTACCCATTCCCTCTGCAAGTGTGTTTGCAGCACATACACATACACATATACAGGTCGTCTCATTTCCCCAAGGGTACATACTAGTTACTATTCTGTAATTGTATGTTATACATTTTAAGAATAATTGCTTTGAAAGACGTCCCCAGCAGAGATGAACATTTCTCATCTCAACTTGTGTAACTCATGTGTGCAATATTTTATAAAATAAAGAGGTATCAAAAAGGATAATACTAATTCTGTTCTCTCTGTTCTCTACCTCCTTCAGCATGGTTTTGTTTTGCTTTGTTTTGTTTTCTGAAAATGGATGCATTTAATTTTATTAAAATATCCTTGTTATAGCTTTGATATCACAGTGGTTATACTTCAGACAATTGCAGTAATAAGTCAACTTCTGTGTGCTCAAAGGCATGTTGTTTTGATGGGTTAAACTGTGTGCTGTAGGAACACATAAGAGACTTCACATTCTGAGAAGCCTGATCAAAGGAGAAAGCGAAAGGAGGACGTTTTTACAGCAATGTGAGTTGGAGTCCCTTGACTACTTTCCCTATGTGAAAGATGTCTCACATAGGTGGGAATGACATATGCTTCCCTCCCAATATCTGCTGATATTTGTGCCTGGATTCTGATCTCACACCTAAATGTGCAGGGAATTAAAATGTGATATAAAGTCAAAAGGGAATTGAGTTTGTTCTCTGTAGAAAACAGCTAAGAAGAGTTTCCTACTGATGGGTTTATTGAAAAGGTATATTCTGCAAGTGATTCTCTCAAACATGAACTCACTCACTAAGCCTATGGGAATTCTAAATATTTTAGAATTAATTGCAGATATTTAACAATCAGAAATGGAGAATAAAACCAGTTTCCGACTACAATTAGCCAGGCAAGCCATGAAGTAGTCTTCCTTTTTTTCTTTTTCCAAATACATTATAAAGTGTTTTCTGCAAATCTTCTTACTAGAAATCCTAGAAAAAAAGTGTTTTGTAAATTTTGTCCTCACTGAGAAAGTCAATACTTAACTAGGAGAAGACTTACTTCTTTACCCTTTCAATCATATTGAATGATATTAGAAGGGTTGACTGTTACATGCCAAGCTTTTTCAAGGCACAAGGAGAAGTGGTACCCTCATTTCCCATCAGAAAATGAAGTGGTTTTTGAGTCTGTAGAGAAATATTTTTTTAGCCTGGCTGACAGTTTGATCCTATGATAGAACCTGTTGTCTTCAGCAGTACAATCTCTGCCAGGCTTCCCTCCCTCGTAACCCCCTCTAAGGTCACCTAAACCAGACAGCACAAGTGGACTCAGTGCCATGAGTCACCCTGAATATTTTGGGTAATTCAGTGGTAGTATCAGCTGTCCTACATGAAGCAATGAGAGTAATATGTGGCTGGGGGGAGCAGAAGCATGTAATAGATAATTTCATTTTGTTTGGCTTTTATTTGTGATTTTGTGAATGCATATCCTTATGTTTGTGTATATGTGTATGGGAACAGGTAGGGTGAGGAAACATGCTTTGTGCGGAGGGTGAAAGAGGTTTCAGTCAGCCTTTCAGTCAGCAAATTCCTCGTCTTTCAAAACATTCAACGATTTCCAGTCAGTTTAAAATTTCTCATCTTCAGCTGGATGTAATGACATCTCACTTCCTCAAAGGAAATTTGAGGTCCTGAGAGGCCTTTAGGAAGTTTACAGTGATGTCGGAGTTGCTGCCCCTCTCTGCTGCTGGTATGGAGATCTGAAGTAATGTGAAGCAGTTTTTCATATTTCATAAAGAAATCTGAGGCTTCCAGTGGTATTCAAATACAGGACTAGGATATTTTTCTTATTAACA